TCGCTGAGAATTTCGTCCTGGAACCTTGACGGGTTCCGGGCCAAAAAAACGGAACTCGTGGACATCTTGAACCGTCTAAACATAGACGTTATGGCTGTCCAGGAGACCTACCTCAGCGAGGCATCCCGTACCTCCATCCCTGACTATGACATATACAGACATGACAGAAACCGTAACGGGGGTGGTGTTGCACTCATAGTAAAGAAGTGCATCGACCACTATCCGCTGCAGCGGCTCCAAACTCAAAACACAGAGGCCGTGGCGATAGCGGTGAGATCGCTACGGCATGGAGACGTTGCGGTGGTGTCCTGTTACCACCCACCCAGACTACCACTACTTGACAATGACTTAGACAAAATCCTTTCCTGGCCCCAGACAATTGCCATCGGGGACTTCAACGCGAAGTCCCCCATATGGCACAGCGGGACGACGACCACAAGAGGTCGCGTCCTGCTGAATTACCAAGACAGACACGACGACTTGACTATACTCGGACCGACAGAACCGACACATTACGGACCCGTAGGACGCCCCGACGTTATCGACATTGCCCTCTTAAAATCTATACCGTTAAATGCCCAAATATCCACCCAATACGAAGGGTCTTCCGCCCACAATCCAATATTTCTGGATCTGGGGCGAAGACAGAGATATGAAGGCACCTTCACGAATAATGGCGGCGACTGGGAGCGCTTCGGAGTAGTAATTCAAGGAAACATCGCGCTCCCAGTCATCGAAACCACCCATGATCTGGAGGCGGCAATCCTTTCCCTTGAGACTGACATTAAAAATGCTCTGACTAAGACTACAACGGAGACCACTATCCCTCGACTGACAAAACCCCGTGGCACCCTCCCCGATGACATAAAAAACTTAATACGTGACAGACGACGTGCGAAACGGCTTGCCACCCGCACCCGCCTCCCTGACTCAGACTACGACGGAGACTATTGTCCCCCGACTGACAAACCCCCGGGGCACCCTCCCCGATGACATAAAAAACTTAATACGTGACAGACGACGTGCGAAACGGCTTGCCACCCGCACCCGCCTCCCCCGACACAGACATGACTTAAACGTACTTAACAGACGGGTGAAGGCGGCTCTGGATGAACTGGCCCAGGATAACTGGGCTAGGCACCTGGAGTCGCTGGATCCACAAGACAACAGCCTCTGGAAAACGCAGAGGGCCCTGCGACAGACCGCTCGCCGTAAAATTCCTCCAATCCACGGTAGTGTGGGGGTGGTTTACACGAACCAGGAAAAGGCCGAGGCTTTCGCCGATAGCCTGGTACTGCAGTGTAGACTGCCTCAACTGCCCGACGAAGACGAGGAATTCGAGACAGTGCCTGAGCGCGCGGCCCTACGCGTCGACAGAGAGCCAGACAATGACATAATCCCCCTCGCAACTTCTGACGAACTAAGACTGACAATACGCAGACTTAAAAACAGAAAAGCTCCTGGACCCGACAATACCGAGCACATCACGGCGGCCTTCAACAGGGGACAGTACACTGGTGCTGTCTTCCTGGACGTCGCAAAGGCCTTCGATACGGTTTGGCATGAAGGCCTACTGATGAAAATGCTCACCAACCAATATCCCATATCCTTTACCAAACTCATAAAATCCTACCTACACCACCGAAAATTCCGCATCCAAATCCAAGATTCCCTTTCCACCACCCGTCCCATGGAGGCCGGTGTCCCCCAGGGCACCGTCCTGTCCCCACACCTATACACCATTTACAACTCCGACATCCCACATCCCCCCAACACCAACATATACTTATACGCCGACGACCTGACAATCACATCCCAATCCGTAGATCCTAGATATTCCGTCTCCCTCCTCCAAAACTCCTTAGACCAACTTGAAACCTGGTGCAACAGGTGGAAAGTCAAAATTAATCCCAACAAAAGTTCGGCTATCCTTTTTACCAAACGAAAAATCCCACAAAACCTCGACAGACTGACACTATCCCAGGAACCCATCTCCTGGAATCGACAAACACGATACCTGGGCGTGACGATGGACCAGCGTCTCACGTGGAAACCGCACATCGTGGAGACGGTGGCGCGAGCGAAGACCACCAGGGCTAGGCTCTATCCCTTACTCAAAGGTGGAAACACCCTCAGTTTAAGGAATAAGCGAACGCTTATCAAGGTGGTACTTCAACCGCAGCTAACCTACGCCTCCACGGCGTGGGGTCACGCGGCAAAAAGCCACTTAAAGTCATTACAGGCTGTGGAAAACATAGCCCTCCGCACGGCCACCGACGCGCCCTGGTACGTAAGAAACACTGACATATTACGAGACTTACAATACACAAACGCTACACAGACAATAAGACAAAACGCGGAGAAACGATTTGACGTAGCCGCTAGACATGACAATCCCCTCCTCAGGCAAGCCGTTGACTACGTACCCGACGTGACCGACAAACACAAAAGACCTAGACACCAACTTTTTGACCCTGGGTGACCACCCCAACGACCCCCCCCCTGCCCGCTAACCTTTTCTGTTTCAGAGACAGCCAGGATCAAGAAACGAAGACAACGACACACACACACACATACACACCCCCCATACCCTCCTTACCCCTCCCCTCCCGCGCTAGCCTAAGGGCCACCTTAGCAAAGCGCATCCCAGGCTGCATAGCCGCACTACCCTACCCAACCATACCACACATAAACATGACACTACCCCCGGGGTTTACACAGACGAGCCGGCGAAGCAAGAAGAGCGCCAGAAGAAAGGGCCCTAGCCGGCGGGGCCCAGCCAGGACAAAAGGAGGTCCCACAAAGCGCCTACACCGGCCGCATTTGCGGTCGGGGTAGACGACGGATGGGGCCCACCTACGAAGGCTGTCCAGGCCTACACGAGATGAGGCAGGATAAAGAGGGATAATCCCCCTCGATCCCAAATCATTGAGGCCAATTTCTAGCCATAGAATAATGGCGCCACGAAAATAGGATGCGCAGAAGACAATGAGCCTTCTCCCTACTCTATATCTCTGGTTTGCTACCTTGGCAGGAAGAATCAGTTTCCGAATGTGTTTTGTGCTTTAAACTCTCAGCACTTTGTGAAAATTAAATTCGACAGTGTATCACAATCGAAGGAAACTACTTAATTGTCATCCCGCGAAATCGATTCTCGAGTCAAAATGTCCGAATATAATTTTTGTTTCCTTTATGGTTTTATCGGAAAATTTTTGAGTTTCTAACCGAAATATTTTAAAAAGTGGGTAAAAATGAACTCTTGTTTGTTTGTGGTATTATTTGATTATTTTTCTACTTTTTTTTGTTCTTACAATATTTGTGAGACCTGTGTGAGACTACTTGATCGGAAACGTACATAGCATACCCAGCAATTTCAATAAAATTTATATTTGTGTAGTGTATTATATTTTTATTTAAAATAAAATGCAAGCAACTACATTTGTTGAGGATTGGCTTTGTTATAACACAACTTTAGGTGAAGGAGCTTATGGAGAGTAAGTTACACCTATGCATTATATTTAATTTATACAATTTTTTTAAATTTATTTCTTTAGAGTTAAGCTCCTAATTCATAGGAGAACCGAAGAAAAAATTGCATGTAAAATAATTAACCATCAAAGGTATAAGGATGCAGCTACTAATATTAATAGAGAAGTAACAATTCACAGAATGTTAGATCATGAAAATATTATTAAATATTTTGGACGAAGACAGGAGCCTCTTAAAGAATATATATTTCTTGAATATGCCTCAGGTGGTGAACTATTTCAACTAATAGGTTAGGTTGTATTTATTACTTTTTGTTTAGATCTAAATATATTTTTTTGTTAGAACCTGATATTGGTATGGCGTCTCATGCTGCACAAACATATATGAAACAATTAATGCATGGAGTAAACTACTTGCATAATAAAGGAATTACGCATAGAGATATAAAACCTGAGAATTTATTAATTGGAGAAGGTGGAGTCTTGAAAATTAGTGACTTTGGTATGGCTACACTTTTTAGGTACAAGGGAAAAGAAAGACTGTTGGATAAAAAGTAGGTATTTGATTAATTTATGTTAATGTATAATATGTAATCATATATATTATACCTTAGATGTGGTACAAAACCATATTTAGCTCCAGAAGTCTTGCAGAAGCCGTATAGAGCGCAACCGTCGGATTTATGGAGCTGTGGAATAGTTTTCGTGGCAATGTTGACTGGAGGCAAGTCAAATAACTTTCATTAATCATGTTTGTTACGTTAATACGTGTTTACAATTTATAGAATTGCCATGGGCAGATGCAACAGATAGAAATGTAGAATTTGCTAAATGGAGAAAGGATGTGTACATATCTGAGACGCCTTGGTCTAAATTAGGAAATACAGCATTAAGTTTGGCCAGACAGATTTTGAATCTTGATCCAAATAAGCGGTTAACTTTAGAACAAATAGAAAAGCATCCTTGGATGAAATTTAATTTTGATTGTGGTGAGTACCTTTTTGTAATATATTTGCTTTGTATAGGAAAGGAGATAGTACATGTTTAGAACACCTCATTTAAATTTATACCTGACTATACTGACTATCTGGTAAAGAATGGCCCAAACTTTAAGTGTGGTTTTCATCGGTGAAAATTTTGATCCGTACCTACCTTGGTAAAATTTTGCTATAAAAAGTTAAAAAGAATTTTTTTTGTTTGATTTTTGTATTTTAAAATTATCATTTTTTAATATATCTAGGTATTAAGATGTACATATATATGTAGTAGTGATATACAGGGTGGTCCCGAGGTAATGGGCCAAAATTCATAGGTATATTCCCGAAGCAAAAATATTGCGATTTAGCCGAACTTACCTTAGTCCAAAAGTTGATAGTTAAAGAGATACAGGGTGTTAAATGTAAAATATTATTTTAGTTTATTTCCATTTATTTCTTAATAAATGCAAATATCTACACAAAATTTTGGGGTTTGGGGTTCTTTGGATAGAGGAAGTGAAATTTGTTCACATTTTGGTTATAGTTCATAGAGGGCGCCAGCTGTCGTATATTGAAGGTGTTGGAAACAACATAACTTTTTTGTACTTTAAGATATCTCATCTTTGGTATCAAATTCTTATTTTCCAACTTTTTTTACACAAAAATGGTGGACTTTATGAAAGTAGCTGTCTCGCACCGTTTCCGAGATATTTGGATTTGAAGCTTCCAATGCTAATAGTTGAAATAATTAAATTAATTTAGAAATGTCAAAAATAAGGATTTATTTAGAATTAAAAATTGTAATGAACAGTAAAATAGTAAACATTACTAAAAAATATGCCTTTTTGACAATAATTGCTCAAAAAGTCCACCTCTATCTTCAATACATTTATCAACACGTTTATTAAAAGATTGTCTTATTTTAAAGTATAAATCCTTAATGCGAAAAGACTTTGCAGCATTTAAAACATGCTACTAAAGTTCTTCTCAAGTGTTTATAGTTTCTCCATAAACAACTGATTTCGTGTAAATCCAAAAACGAAGCATTCTATCTCACATTTATGTATACGAGTATACAATTTAATG